ATATCTATGTGTCTATTGGGCCATTCCCATCTGTACCGGGTCGGGTAGCCCCAGTCGGCCCCAGCCTGGCCCGGTTGATTCCACACATCCTTGCCTTAAGCCCATGTGGGCTGATTCTACCCACCAATCAGAGGCTTGCTCTAATGGAAGGTGTGAATTTGCTGTCAGCAGTGGGTGTGTTGGCCCTGGTCGGCCTGAAGCAGACCCCCTCGAGAAGAGGGCTGAGAATGAGCCTTGGTTGGCCCGGAAAAATACCAGGCCACCCAGATATGTAAACAACCTACGCTACCCGGCCCGGGCCGACCCGGTACAGATGGGAATGGCCCATAAGACCCCAACCACTACCAGGTAAGGTGTCTTGTCCAAGAAAACAACAACTGCAACAGACTGAGCGAGCCCGAATCTGCAACCCACTGGTTACGGGGTGGGCACTTAACCACTCTACCACTAGCGACTGTAAACACATGTGAGAGAGAGAGTCACCAACCTTTGCTCATATACTCCGTCACAATATAAATGGGCTCCTCAGACACTACAGCATACAGCTGCACCAGCTTGTCGTGGTGAAGTTTCTTCATAATCTGAGCCTCCTCCAGGAATGACTCGGGGGACATGGTGCCAGGCTTCAGCGTCTTCACTGCAACTTTAGTGGTTCCATTCCACGTGCCTGGGCAGAGTCAAACACAACGTTCAGTCGGCTGCTCTAGGGTCGGCGTGAAACAAAGACCGATCCTGGCCCTGGGGGGTGGGTGGGGTTCGGATTTTGAAGGGCCAACGTGCAACACAGAAGGAGATCAGCTCAGGGGAGAAGATTCAACCGTCCGCTCTGATGACCAGCAGCAGGTTCAGCAGAGTCTGATGTGTGCACCAGCGTGTGGAAGGCAGAACTCTACTGATCTCATTCTGTTAAAGACATGCAAGAGGAAGAGGAGAACTCGAGAGAGGTGGGGCCAGTTGCATGCTGTTTTGCCTTTCATCTGTTTGGGGTCTTCGTAGTAGAGTGGTTCGATTTTACCAGCATACTGGGAATTTGCTGTTGTCGGTTGGTGTTTAAATATTTAGCCCAGCAGATCTGACAAAACAGCCATTTGGAGTACTCGTCCCCTTTTTTGGAGGCCCTGTGGCGACTTTTTAACCAAGGACTTCATAGTCCGGCTGGAGGACTTCAACCCTCAAGTGGGCGATGACGGTGTGACCTGGAGCCTGATTCTGAAGAATGACCCACCCAACCTGAACCCAAGTGGTGTTCTTTTATTCGACTTGTGTACAAGGCACAGGCTGGCCACAACCAACCCCAGGGTTGACCATAAACGTGCCCATGGGCTCTTATTTCTAGGGACACCTAGGTAACAGTTCATTGATCAAAATCTTGGGGGTATTATCAGACTTGCAGGCATTTGTTTTGGATCCATGAGTGAGTAGAAGAGTTGGGTTGTCAACCAAGAAGATGTGAGTTAAATCAGAGGGCAGGTGAACATGCGGTATAGACCTAGTAGATTCAAACGTATAGCTAGAGTCTGCTGCGATGCATGAAATATGTCACAATGGTCTTCAGCTCCCACCTTTAACACAGCTTAGACCGCATCTCAAAGGCAGTGGGGAACAGTTACTGCAGCGATCTTCCTAATTCCAGAAGTTACCCCTGGGCCGATGGTGAACACTAGAGGTTAGGGGAGCCGTACAGCTGAAGGAAGAAGCCTACAGGGCATGCTTGATCTGGGGGTCTTCAGAAGCACCTGATAGGTACTAGTAGGTCAAGGGGTGGCTAGCAGTGGCGGTTTCTGAAACAAAGTCTGGGGCATGGGAGTAGTTTGGCAAGGACATGGAAAAAAAATATTAATCAGCTCAAACCCTTCTGGTAAACCTCTCAGTGGATGAAACAAGTCACTGGTGATAATGTTGACAGGGTACATGTGAGGAACCAGAGCTGGGCATTGGGGCAAGTCTAGGGGAGGACAACGTAGGTCCTGAGTGAATGCCTTGGTTGACATACATCTGCAAAATTGTGTGGACATCAAGGGTGGTTCCTTAGAAGTGTCAAACTGGGGAAAGTGGGCTGCGTTCCAACTTCAGAGTATCAAGTAAGTCTACTCCAACAGGAAAGAGGGTTTGTTTGATAGCCGAAGCACAGACTGAGGAGGAGCACTCAGGGAGGATGAGGTGCATCAAGCCAGTTGTAAAGCGGACCTGGTGTAGGCGGCGGCTGAGGAGAGGGTGGCTTGGGCTGCTTGTCTGGTTAAGGTGCTGACCACAAGGCATGGGGTACATTACAGACCGCTTCCGTTATTTAATTGTTCAACAAATGTTCATTGAGGTATTTTTCTCCCAAAGTAAAACTTTTATGAACTGTGTACTGCAGCTTTGCTTCCAAGTTTTCAGTTCAGTTGATTTATTTATTTATTTAGCGCCAAATCACGACGAGAGTCGTCGCAGGGCACTTCACACAGTAAACCTCCCAGTGCAGCAACACATTTCACAGTTTAGGGGGATAAATGATTTACTCCATAGTTTCAAGCAAATGGGTGATTTTGATCGTTTCCTTACCGTAAAACACTTCAGCAAAACATCCTGAGCCCAGCTTTACTTCCATTTGGAGCGCATCTCTGCTGATCTCCCAGGCATCACGACTCAAGCCAACCGTTTCAGGAATGTAGTTCACACACACGCCCGTTAAAGTAAAGCACAAACCATCTGCACTCTCTACAAAGGGAAGGCACAGGGGTTAACTCTGGGGAAAGAGCATGCACCAAGGCTACTATGGAAGAAGGCAGAGTCTCCTGACACCTGATGTTCCCCAGGTTCTCTTGGAAGGAAAGGGGGATTCCAGAAGGAACTCCGAGACAGTTTTTCACCCTGTCTCATTCCAGGAAGGGCTCTTTGCTTATATTTTGGAGTGTGTCAGGTGTCTCTGCCCTCACTAGTATTCCCAAGATGCACGATGAGCTGCAACGACTTTCAATTCAAATTCAAAAATACTTTATTAATCCCAGAGGGAAAAAAAAACTTCCGTGGGATCTCCCATTCATCTTTGGTTTTCAGAGATGGGTCAGCGAGGTGGGCCGTCCCCCTGTAGCAGGGAACCACTAAGCAACAGCAGTGACCTGTGGCTCGGTCTGTAAATGCCACACAGCAACACAGAGAAGAGCACAAGGGAGAGACGTCCCAAAGGTTAAAGAAGTTAGACGATACAAGGGCAAAGATGGAAGGCGGCGGCGTGAACATAGACAAGAAGCGAGAGGAAAACTGGATTTAGGACCCACAGGCCGACTCCACATCAGGGAATGAGACACCAGGAAGTAGCACATATAAATGGTAAATGGCCTGTATTTGATATAGCACCTTCTAGAATCCTGGAACCCCCCAAGGCGCTTTACAACACAATCAGTCATTCACCCACTCACACATTCACACCCTGGTGGTGATGAGCTACACTGTAGCCACAGCTGCCCTCGGGCACACTGACAGAGGCGAGTTTATCGTACTCAGGCCCCGCCGGTCCCTCCAACCACCGCCAGCAGGCACGGGGGGTTAAGTGTGTTGCCCAAGGACACAACGACAGCAACAAACCGAGCTGGGCTCGAACCTGCAACCTTCCAATTACCGGGCGAGCACTTAACTCCTGGGCCACCGTCGCCCCATGAAGAAAGAAAAAGCTATGAAGAGGTGGTGGAACTGCACTTTTCCTGAGAAAACCCTGAACGACACAAAGACACTCAGTGTTACTACACATGGTTCTCATCTGTCTCTCTCCGTGCAGGTAGAACAGACAAACCATATTCTTTAACCATGTCTCGCATTCCTTGTGAGGACCGTCATTGACTTCCATTCATTTGAGTGACTGGATTGTGCCTAACCCTAACCAGTCTCCTCATAACCCTAACCCTAACTCTCAACCCTAACCCTAACCAGTCTCCTCATAACCCTAACCCTAACTCACAACCCTAACCCTAACCAGTCTCCTCATAACCCTAACCCTAACTCACAACCCTAACCCTAACCCTAACCAGTCTCCTCATAACCCTAACCCTAACTCACAACCCTAACCCTAACCAGTCTCCTCATAACCCTAACCCTAACCAGTCTCCTCATAACCCTAACTCACAACCCTAACCCTAACCCTAACCAGTCTCCTCATAACCCTAACCCTAACTCACAACCCTAACCCTAACCAGTCTCCTCATAACCCTAACCCTAACCAGTCTCCTCATAACCCTAACCCTAACCAGTCTCCTCATAACCCTAACCCTAACCAGCCTACTCACAACCCTAACCTTAACTAAAACTGTATTCACACCATGCCTCTAAAACTAACCAGTAGAGCTCTGGGACATTGTCCCAAAGTGAGGACATTAGTAGCAAAATGGCCTCACTTTGATGTATAGACGGTACACACACACACACACACACACACACACTGACGAAACCTCTAAAATGACTAAATCTCAAGTTACACACATGATATGTCTTTTCTGATAAGTTGTCCAACATTTTGAGGACAAAGTAGTTCCTCAGGGCATGAAATTATGGGTTCCTATCCAAGTCTCAACTTCTCACTGTTGAACTTTGCTTTGACTTAAAAACCACTCGTGCCGGGATTCCAAAAACATTACCAGTGATTAATATAAGACTGAACACAAAACATAGTCCCCCTCTCCCTTTGGTGTATGCACTTCACCCAACTTGCCTGTGTTAGTGGTGGTCAGAGGGGCCGACGGCGCCAAATGGCAGCCTCGCCTCTGTCAGACCTCCCCAGGGCGGCTGTGGCTACAAGTAGCTTACCATCACTAGCAGTGTGTGAATGTGAGAGTGTGTGAAAGCGTCTTTGGGTGTCTAGAAAAGCGCTCTATAAGTTCAATGCATTATTATTATTATTATAGAGAGCACACACTAATCTGAAGAGCAGCAGCTTATGTAAAACCGGTTCAGCTCTTACAAGACTTTAAGGCCAAAACAAAGCAAGAACCTGCACATTCACAAGCCCTGAAAAGGTTGTAGGTGAAGGGAAGTTCTTATGCCGACACCATCTGAAGAGTAATAAGTTGCAGAAGAATGGTTAGCGTACGATGAAACAAAGACATCTGGAGTCTTAAAGAGCAGTAAGTCTGTGTGTTAACTGGAGCAGGTGATGGGCATTGTTCATCTGAGAAGTAGGGCCTACAGCAAAGAAGCAGACCTCCATCTGCATTTCTGCTTCATTCAGAAACAAAAACAAACGATTAGAGCAGGTTTGCCAGTTAACGACCAAGTATCAGAAAATAACAGAAATCACGGCTCACTCCGGGTGTGTCATGCAGGCTGAAAATGAAAACAGTGTAACGTGATGAAGGAGCCATTTCTCCGGGTTATTATCCTCTAACCACTGCTCCCTTTTGACACGGCGCCAGAGTGCATGAAACAGCCTCAAGGTCATGCATTCGCTTCTAAACTGTTTACGTTCCAGCAATGAAGACAGAACAATGAACTCTTTTCTTTTAATTAATCAAAGAACTCTATTTTAATAAAGCTAATCCATCAAAGTGTTAGTCAAATAATAACCATGTGACCGATCTGTGAAATCACAATATTATGATTATGTTTTAATAAGTAAATGGCTTATTCTAGTCACTGATGCATTAAGGTAAACAATCACATGACACATTGCTGTGCTGGTCCAATCAGAACCTTCACGTCTGAAGCGTGGCAGAGTCTCTGTGGTGTTTATTTAATCTGTCAGCTGTGATTCGTCCAGAATAATAAACACCCAGATTAATAAAACAGTGCAACGCCATCTTAAGCCAGATCTCAAGATCCCCTGAAGTTCATCGCATGCTAAGTGAAGCACGGACCGGCCATCTATGCTTCCCTTTTTAAGCTAGAACTGCCAAGCTGGGAAATCCTGTCGTTGTTATCAACAAAACAACGGTTCCTTCAGAATAAAAGCTGAACTCCCGGACCCAAGGAGGGTCCCGTTTGACGCTGTGAAACACCCGTCGCTTTTTACCTGGAGACTATCCAAAGACTGGTTTGTCGTGCTGAGGACGCTGTTTCATCGGCTCCAGTACCAGAGGAGGGTCGTGGACCTGGCATCCGGATCTGTACGCGAGCCTCACTGAAGGGTATGTGGATGCGACACACGACGTCATGTTTTTTTATGACTACGGTTCAAACGTTGATCAGTTAGGAGCAAAACATCATCTCCCACTCAGACTCGCTTCTCCAGAACGGAGGTTCTGAACTGACATCGCACCAACACACAGTTCTGTTAAACTGTTTAAAATCATTTAGATAATAAATTTTCTTAAACGTTTGAACGTCTCTCTCTCTCTCCTCTTGTCTCTCAGTTCATGCAAAGTGTTTATTTAATTTCCCTGTAATCAAAAGAACCACTCTTCTGATTTAAACAGCCCAGTGTCCATTAGAATGGGGTCCATACTCGATATGGACCTTTAATGTCTATGGTCATTAATTAAACTGTAAATCTTTAACACTACAATAGTCTCCTACATCTGGATGCATTAGCTTCTCTAGGATTAGAAAATCCTGACAGATCTACGTCACACTGTCACTAACATCCATGGGCTCACCCATCTGGACTCACGACGGGAAAGGCTGTTGTTGGTTTAGTCCAGGAAGCAGCAGAGAACATCCGGCTAGTAGAAGCTAACCATTAGCATTAGCAACTTCACCACACAGCATAACCCCTTGAGGGAGTGATCCCAACTCCCTTCTCAGGGGCCAACATGTTTTAGTTGTTTCCCTAATTCAATGCACTTCAGCTATTTAGCAGCCCACCAGCCTCTACACGTTACATGCACGTATATCACCCGCTGATTAAAATCAGGTGTGTTGAAAACAGCTAAACATGCTGAACACTGGTCGTCGGGGAAGGAAGTTGGGGATCACTGCCTTCAGGACTGGGATGTTTGTGGAGATCAGGGCCCTCGTTTATCAGCCATACTCACACACAGATCTGTGCGTAGGAACTAGTGTGAGCATTGTGTGGTATTCAGCATGTTGTACCTGTGTGTGGAAATGTTCCTAAACAAAAGAAAACTTCAGACCGTGTGAAGGAACAGCATCTAGTGGTAGAACAGAGGAACCGCAACACCGAAGGTCTCAGTCCATGGATGGATGGATGGATGGATGGATGGATGGATGGATGGATGGATGGATGGGTGAATGGATGGATGGATGGATGGATGGATGGATGGATGGATGGGTGAATGGATGGATGGATGGATGGATGGATGGATGGATGGATGGTATCTCATAGAAAATGTTGATTCTGAAAGGAAACTAAAGGTTTTCTGACAGGTGTACTCATTTATGTTGAGCACTGGAATTGCCGGCCGGAGCTTGGCAGTGACTCCCCACGTGATCATGACACCTCCCTTTGTTGCCCCAAGGAGCAATTGTCATTTATAAGACAGACAATTATCGCAACATTACTACCAAAGGTGGAACGAACGCTGCAAAATGTGCACCTCGTCGTGCCGGCATGGCGCGCTTATGAGACACGTCGTTGTGATAAAATTTCGCTGATTTGCCGGCACAGTGTGTCTTGTAAAATGGCTCATAAATGTAAAGTGCGTGTGTGTGTGTGTGTGTGTGTGTGTGTGTGTGTGTGTGTGTGTGTGAGACGTAGATCTGTCAGGCTTTTCTAATCCTAGCGTTTCACCGCTCTACTGCAGGAGACAGGTGTAGGAGACTATTTTCATGTTCAGCCTGCATGAAACGCTCAGAGTGACCCGTTAGAATCCGAAATAATTTAACAAATAAAATAAATTATGTTTTTTCAGTGTTTCACACCTTTATTATTCAAAAAAGTATTTTAAAAATAAACGTCGCAAATGACTTGTTAGGATTTTTTTTCTCAAACGTTCCAACAGAAAAATGAAGTCAAACGCGACAAAATCACAAAACTCTAAACTGTTTGAACTGAAGTGAAAAATTTGAATCTGGAAAATAAAAAATAATCAGCTTCTTTCCTGCTCTCCTGATACAATAATCAACAGTTCGTGTTTCTCTTTTGGTCGCAGAAGGGACGTGTTGCTTCAGGGGTGAAGGAGGGCTGGTGAAACGATTCTTTGCTGTGTTTTGGTTGATCATCATGAATGAAGGTTAGGACTTTATCCGGCTTCTGTCCTTTCTGCTGGGCTGCACTCACACGCCGCTTATACCGTGTACTACTACAGTGGATTTTACTGAAGTATACCCTGATACAGTTTCTTGCCTAAACACGCCTTACTATAGTAAGCATGGCTTAGCATGGTCCAACAAAAAGACAAACATACCGAAACGTTAAGCATAGTTCTTGTCAACTGGCCAAACTATTACAGAATATTGACAGTAGCGCTGAATCTCTGTACCTGAGTAGTGCTGAACCAGCTGTTGCAGTGTTTCAAACTGTGCCCTGGTGGTGATGTAACAGCCACCACTGTCCAGCTTGCGGATCTTATAGTGCTTAACATGATCGCCTCTCACACCATCCCAGTCCCGTATCGACAAGGAGAAGGCTTCTGGACACACACATCACAGGTGGGGTTATGAAACACCTGTCACTCAGTCACCACCATGACCACGACAGCCAGACGGCGACAGCGATCGCCTACAGCAAACAAAGTTGTCACTGGTTTCCATACCCTTTGTGGTTTCACTCTCTCGGATGAGATAGGTGCCTCGAGGGTTGCCAGCAGCCAGTAGCTGTCTCTCTGCGTCTTTTCGGCCCAGTTTACCAAAGTACCAGCTGAAGGGACACGAGAAAATCTGTTGGCTTCACATTTACCTGCCAGGTCAAACCACCCAGCAAGCACGTATAGATACACTTCGTGGCCCTCAAATCAAGTTCATGCCCCCCCAGCAGGTTTGGGTCAAGTGCACACGCAGAAGACCCGTTTGTCGTGAATGTCTTGCTGGTTGTTGAGTACTTCTACATCAGCTCTTCTGTGAGAACACTCTTTTAAAATGATGGATACAACGTCCCTCTGTATTTAGATCACTGTCTCAGTTACGGTGCCAGCCCTCCCACTAAATACAGCCAGCTCCATAAATACTGGGACATGGACACAATGCTAACATTTCTGGCTCTATACACCACAGTAGCCTAGTGAACTAGACCAAATTCTTGCTTTGCAAAGTTTGGTCTAGGCACGCTCCATTGGAACCTCCGCAGCTCCTACCAGGACTCTGGCTAGCCAATCACAGCTCTCTAGAGGGGTTTCAAACACATAAAGAGCTGTGATTGGTCCATAATGGTGGGCCAGTCATAGTGCTCTATCTGCTTAGTGAACAAATCACAGAGCTTTATCCGCCTTGTGGGCCAATCAGGGCACTCTATATGCCTGGTGGGTGGGATGATGCAACAGAGTGAAACAAGAGTATGTCACATTCATTGTCCAGTGGAAAGCGGAGATCATTTGAAAGACAACGGTAGAACCCGCCCCACAACCGAGAGCCGCCAATGGAGCGTGGCCAGCTTGCCAGGCTACCACCACAATGGATGTCCAATGAAAGGAACAAGATGTGCTTTAACTGCAGACTGTCAGCTTTTATTTGAGGGTATTTGCATCCAAATCCGGTGAACGGTGTAGGAATTACAACAGTTTGCATGTGTGCCTCCCACTTGTTAAGTATTACCCCAGATTTGGATGATCATTTGTGTTTTGTATTTATTCTATTTATTAATTCCAGCCCAGAGAGCTATTTTCTTTAATGAACTCCCTTTTAAGAGACGTAATTTGGTTGTTTCCTCTCACAGTTAATTTTCTTTTCTCCCTCGTTAAACATCGTACTCCTAGTCGAGCTGAGGGACGTGAAAATGAAGGTGGAAAAATCTGGATGACTCTAAAGTTTCTGCTGCAAAATTCAGGCTACTCAAGTGATCGTGTTTGGAACAGAACCTCAGAAAAGGAAACTGCACTAGAGCAGCCTCTGTGAGCAAAATAAAGAACCTCGGGGTTCATTTTGACCAGGACATGCCACTCAAACCCCCCGTTAAACAGGTCTGTTGGATTTCAGCTGTTAACTTTATTTTCTCTCTAAGTATTTTTCTCCCCAGAAGAAGCTACAACGATGTTCTGCTGAGCTGTGGTGGCCTCATGGAGGGGGCCATCGTCTAGCACACTGCTGCTAACCACTAAAACATTCTCCCTCTCCTGATAATAAATTTTTGCTTTCCTTGACGTTGGATGTGCTACTACTAGTTTACCCGTTTAATTATAGATTCACTAGGATAAATACAATAAAGTTTATCTTTCACCAAATAGAATATTTACTAAGAAATCACAATGTAACCATAGAAACGTGTGTGTGTGTGTGTGTGTGTGTGTGTGTGTGTGTGTGTGTGTGTGTGTGTGTGTGTGTGTGTGTGTGTGTGTGTGTGTGTGTGTGTGTGTGTGTGTGTGTGTGTGTGTCTGCTCTGTCTTCTCGATCCCCAGTGAGTCGTGGAGGATGGCTGCTTATACTGAGCCAGGATTCTCTGGAGGTTTCTTCCTGTTAAAAGGGAGTTTTCCTCTCCACTGTCGCTGCATACTTGCTTAGTATGAGGATTGCTGTAAACACACTGACTCTAGTCAGTGACTCGATGCAACCTGCTGGGTTCCTTATATAGGAAACATGTTACTGATTGGCTTAATGACCTGACCTGTGTTGGGATGTTTATTATGTGCAGGTCCTTGAGACGACTCTGGTCGTGACTTGGCGCTTTATAAATAAACTTGAACTGAATTAGCACCAGCATGTCAGGGACACCACTCAAGTTAGTGCTCACATTTGGCTCATCTACTTTAATTTTAAATATTGGAGATGGAATAACTGGTAGTTTCCGCCCATCTTCAGCACCGCCTGAAACTCAGTAGCCTCTATGAAAAGCTTCAGTCTGGTTCTCGCTCTACACACAGCACAGAAACGACCCGTCAGTCACCGTGACCTGATGCCATCTGAAGCAGATGTCCCTTCTTTTCTCATCCTGCTGGATCTATCTGCTGCGAATGCCACGTCTCTCATCTGGTGACCGCCACACACTTACTCTTCAGCCTGGATGGAGTCCACTGGAGCCACATAGTTACTGGGGATGTAACCACTGCCACCGGTGGTGAGCGAGTGAGCGTCCCACCAGTCTCCTTCACTGAGAATCACACAGAAGAAACAACGGACATCAAGACACCTACAGAATGCATCTCAAAGAACGTGACTGGGGTGGTCAGAACCCCTTCATCGGTTCTAGTTTTAATAGAAGTGTAACGCGTGTAATCCAGGGCGTAAGGCAAGGTGGATTAGTAAAGAGCTCTTTTAGCCCCGTTGACTTTCTCCGTTCCTCCGTGGACCCATGAGCCAACCTGAAAAGGAGAAGACCTAGGCTCCCTATGGGGGCATTTTAATACAGTTTTCTGATATTGGTACCTACCCAATGTTTTCACTCAGTCCCAAAGAGGTCCAGAGTTCTGACACCCAGCCCTGGGGGTCAGCCAGCCTGTCTCATGGTCTGCTGAGATGTTCTGTGTTTCTCCTCTGCTGGAGGTCTGTTATGTTTACCGCTCTGAACTTGAGACAGTTCTCCACACCTTCATCTCCTCACGCTTAGACTACTGTAACTCTCTTTTCACGTGTCTGAGCAGAACCTCCCTGAACCGTCTACAGGTGGTTCAGAACGCCTGTGCTCGGCTTCTGACCAAGTCCTCCAAACACACCCACATCACCCCGCTTCTCCTCCAGCTTCACTGGCTGCCAGTCAACTTCAGGGTTCATTTCAAGGTCCTGGTTCTGGTCTATAGGGCCTTACATGGACAAGCACCATCTTACATTGGTGATCTTCTTAGTCCCTACACCCCCAGCAGGTCCCTGAGGTCCATTGATCAAAGCCTACTGGTTGTGCAGCACCAGGCTAAAGGTCAAAGGTGACAGATCATCTGCTGCTGTGGCCCCCAGACTCTGGACCTCTCTCCCCCTGAGCCTGAGATCAGTGGACTCAGTGGTCTCCTTTAAAAAGCAGCTGAAGACTCACTTGTTCAAGCTGGCTTTTGTATGACCTTCTTCACCTCTCTCTCTTTATTCTGCTCTCCCCACCTATTCCAACTTCCTCAGGATCCACTGATTTCCCTCTTTCCTGTTCACTCTCTCTCTTTCTTAACATTTTTAATCACATTTGTCTCTTTTTTGCTCATTAAAAATATATTTTTAACCATTTTCTAAATTATTTTTGATATTTTTACATTTTTGGTTTTTGTTGTAACGGTATGAAATGACTGTTTTCCACCAAAAGTCATTTCCCCCTCTCCTCTGACACAGAACTAGTCTGCATGAGATATGACCTCAAGGTCTCATGCATTTGTTATAAACTGCTTCTTTCCAGCTCAAGAGAAGAATGGACTCTCTCCTTTTAATAAATCAAAGAACTCTATTTTAATAAAGCTAATCAAACAAAGTGTTAGTCAATAATAAGATTTGACCGATCTGTGAAATGAAAATATTAATTACTTTATTATAATCCTATAGAATATAATAAGTAATATGACTTTAAATGTTTCCACTAGGACTGATCTCACGTAGCGTTAAGACATGACTCATTGCTTCACTGATCCAATCAGAATCTGCCAGATCTGACGGAGGCGTGGTTTTGGTGGTGCTTGGTAAATCTGTCATCTTTTCATTCGACCATAAACCAAAACCTCTGAAGTATAAAACTATGCCCACGTCATCTCTAACGCCAGTTCAAAGCATTCTAGAGAAGTTGTCGGAGTGGCCAATCCGTAACTTTCCTCTTCAGCCGAAAGAACCGACGACAAGCTGGATAAAATCTGTTGCTGTTCCACCTGCTGCAACGGTTCCTTTCAGAATAAAAGCTGAACCATCACGACCCAGGTTTGGGTCTCACTAGATGCCAACAAAACTGTTGTGACCCGGAAGTATCTCAAGACTGGTGGTCGGCTGCCGTGGCTGTTTCTACGGGCTTCGGCTCCATAAAGGTCAAGCTGGACCTTTACACCTCCTGATCTAGACGGGGACTTCCTCTAAGGGTACGTAGACCAACAGAATGGCGTCGAATGTGTTTAAGAATCTCCTAACCAAAGCTCAACACGAAGACGTCACCTTCACTTCCCATCAGAACTAATCGCTTCTTCGGATTTGCTGGTTCTGAACATCATTCCGCATCACACCATTCTCCATCTCATTCACCTTAGTTACACCATACATTTAGTGTTAAAGTTAGTCTAGTTTAATTAGTTTAGTAATAAATCTTTAAACTTTTAAACTCAACTCTCTCTTCTGTCGTCTCTGAGTGAATACGAAGCCGTTATCTAATCCCTGCAATAAAAAGATCCAATCTTCTGGTTAAACAGTACCACAGATCCATAAGGTGGATTTCATATTTCCTATAGAATCCTACGTCTCATGGCTTATTAAATAACTTTAGAGGGCAAATGCAGAACGGAGAACTTACGTACAGCACTCATTTAAAAACCCAGACGTTTTAACCCGTATAGTACCTTTTAATTTTCTAACATTTCTGGTGTTTGAGCACAAAAAATGCACTTCGGACATATAAGGCTGAAAGGTATTATTTCCAAATTCCTGAATTCTATGCTTTTAGGACTTTTGAAGACGCCGTGGGAACCCCGTGTAGATCAGCCGCTGCAGCGAACTTCTGATGCATCAGTGGGAATTATTTATCCACAGTCGTGTGTGAGCTCAGATCTTCATCCCTCAGGTGCTCCTGGTAGGAATGTGAACTCATGCTGATGGAGAGGGAGGACAGTTGTTGTTGAGAAGAACCGCAGGTAAGGTCAAAGGTCAAACAGGGAACACAATGATTGTTACTTCATCACAAATTACAGATTACCACATGTTTCTGTCTGCAGGGTCCAAGAATGAGCCAGGCTGTGTGCATGACTGACCATCCAGGCTCTACACCAGCTAGATGTCTACAGAGCTGACCTCGCTGCTTCCATGTAGGGCATGTGGACAATATGAGTAAGAATCAGATTCAAAAGGTTTATCTTCTCACATGTTCAGTCACCAAACACCATCTCCCAGCTGGCTGATGACCTCCTCCTGCAGGTCTGAAGCATTTACCTAAATAGTGTTTTGGGGTTTCGCTGCAGTCTTTGTATATTTCTGAATAAAATAATCTTGTTCCATTATCACGTGGTTGTCTTGTTTACCGGTTTGTCATTAAGGTTGTGACCGTGTGAAGCATAAGCCTGCATAGTTTCTTTATTAGTGTGCCCTATAAAGCTTTGAGACTGAGTAGGCATCTATCAAACACTGTAAATCAGAGGCATTCAATTCCAGTCCTGGGTTAGGGTCTCCAGAACGTTTTAGTGGTTTCTCTGCTCCAACACACGAGATTCGGTGGTTAAATCACCTGCAGCTCATCAGGCTCTGCTGAAGCCTGTTAATCACCTGCTTTTTAACCACACAGAACCTCGACCAGCTGGATAATAAAGCCTGTTGCAAGCTCCACCTGAAGCAACGCTCCTTCAGAGTAAAAGCTGAACTCACTGACCCTTCAGGGTCCCGCTGACGCTGTCAAACACCTGCCACTCACCTGGAGGCAATCCCAAGACTAGTCTGTCGTACCGTACGCTGTGTCATCAGCTCCGGTACCAAAGGGGGGTCCGAGGACCTGGCATTCTAGATCTACAGCGGAGGTCTCCCGTCGAGGGGATGTAGCGCGGCAGGATAGCGTCTGGATGTGGTTTTTCAAACTCCGACTGTAGTTTAGAGCAAAACATGCGCTCCCACACAGAACTAACGCTTCTCCAGAAACGGGTTCTGATAACGACATTCCACATTTACACCATCCATCTTGCCTCATTCTCACCTAGATCCACTCATCTCACAGTGTTTAAAGTTAGTTTAACCCTAACCCTAACCCATTCACACCTAGATCCATTCATCACACAGAGTTTAAAGTTAGAGTCTAACCCTCACCCATTCACACCTAGATCCATTCATCACACAGAGTTTAAAGTTAGAGTCTAACCCTCACCCATTCACACCTAGATCCACTCATCACAAAGAGTTTAAAGTTAGAGTCTAACCCTCACCCATTCACACCTAGATCCATTCATCACACAGTGTTTAAAGTTAGAATCTAACCCTCACCCATTCACACCTAGATCCACTCATCACACAGAGTTTAAAGTTAGAGTCTAACCCTCACCCATTCACACCTAGATCCATTCATCACACAGAGTTTAAAGTTAGAGTCTAACCCTCACCCATTCACACCTAGATCCACTCATCTCACAGTGTTTAAAGTTAGTTTAACCCTAACCCTAACCCATTCACACCTAGATCCACTCATCACACAGAGTTTAAAGTTAGAGTCTAACCCTCACCCATTCACACCTAGATCCACTCATCACACAGAGTTTAAAGTTAGAGTCTAACCCTCACCCATTCACACCTAGATCCACTCATCTCACAGTGTTTAAAGTTAGTTTAACCCTAACCCTAACCCATTCACACCTAGATCCATTCATCACACAGAGTTTAAAGTTAGAGTCTAACCCTCACCCATTCACACCTAGATCCACTCATCACACAGAGTTTAAAGTTAGAGTCTAACCCTCACCCATTCACACCTAGATCCATTCATCACACAGTGTTTAAAGTTAGAGTCTAACCCTAACCCATTCACACCTAGATCCACTCATCACACAGAGTTTAAAGTTAGAGTTTAACCCTCACCCATTCACACCTAGATCCACTCATCACACAGAGTTTAAAGTTAGAGTCTAACCCTCACCCATTCACACCTAGATCCATTCATCACACAGTGTTTAAAGTTAGAGTCTAACCCTAACCCATTCACACCTAGATCCACTCATCACACAGAGTTTAAAGTTAGAGTCTAACCCTCACCCATTCACACCTAGATCCATTCATCACACAGTGTTTAAAGTTAGAGTCTAACCCTCACCCATTCACACCTAGATCCACTCATCACACAGAGTTTAAAGTTAGAGTTTAACCCTCACCCATTCACACCTAGATCCATTCATCACACAGAGTTTAAAGTTAGAGTCTAACCCTCACCCATTCACACCTAGATCCACTCATCACACAGAGTTTAAAGTTAGAGTTTAACCCTCACCCATTCACACCTAGATCCACTCATCA